ATGCTTTGCTGGGTTTTTTACCTTTCTCTGCCATGTCAGGAATGAGCCCTTAATAAAAGTAAAATAATAAAAGTAAAGTGAAGAGGTATTTGATGTAAACTCAGTTCTATTCCAACGTGTATGAGGCAGCACTATAGAGCCTTCTTATAACAGCCAACTAACCCAGTGAGAATGTATATCCCTAGTTATGGTGAGAAGGGATAAAAGAAACCAAAGCACCTTCCAGTGAACCAGAGTGTGTAGCACAGTAAAGCCTTCTTCTAGCAGAAGGTATTCACATGTCTCATTCTGTCACATATCACAAAAATAAAATGATTGTTCCTAATTTCAGGATAGTGGGTGGAGCAATGCAAATCATTCCTGTTTGCCCTAAGGACCAACTGTACATCAAGAACTGCTGTGTAGTACAGATACAGTCTATTATTTTACAGCCATTTTCTCCAAACTGCATATTCAGTCATGAAATATTAAGTACACTCCATGAAAATTGTTGACTTTTTAAACATATTCATCAAAAATTCATCATTCAACATAAATCATGTATTTAACAAAAATATCAGCAGATGTAATGGTGTACTAAGGGAGAAATAAGTATACCCTTGGAATCAAAAGCTGGTACTGCCCTTGTAGCAGAAACTACTTCTTGTAGACATTTTTTAAACCTTCCCACCAGTCTCTGACATTGAAATGTCAAATTCAAAAGAATTTCTTTGACCCCCGCTGGTGTAAGAGATATCTGAATTCAATTTTGGGGTTTATGGAAACTTTTTTTTTACCATCATACAGTCAGTTCTTGAGAGAGGTTTGCTGGGCCAGCCTGGCCTGGTCAAATTAGCAGTTGTTTGAAATCTATGCCTTTTGTAGATGATTTTCCTCACAGTGGATGATTGATTTGAAATAATTTAGTGATCTTTTTAAATTCCTCTCGAGACTAAAGCCTATCATTGACTGTTCAAATCTCGGCTGGTTCAGGAGGTAAACCATGTATAGATAAGGCAGAATGTACCCAAGTTGATCAGTCATCCCTGCTGGGAGAACACACTGGCTCTAAGGAAGGGATTCCCTCATCAACACTGACTGTGTTGATGGGGAATTTGAGCGATTTTCTTTCCTGCACCGGCTATGGCCGGCTTAATGGTGCTTTGAAATTGTTATACGGTTCTCCTCCTAAAATACTGTTTTTGGTTTATAGCAAACATGTCTACTGTTGCTGTCACCACCTGTCTTTGATTAATCAGCACATTGTTCCATTGTTGAGCACATTGTTCCTTTTTCTATGTTCAATGGCAAACTGCAATCTTGATTTTTCTTGATACATCTTTCATAAGGATTGAATAAATGCAATCTCTTTCTGATTGCAGATGAATGCACTTTGACACCAGTTATTGCAATAGTTATCTGAACATACTGTGATGACATTTTGGGGTTCTTGGAGATCTCTTTTAGCATCATATAGTCAGCTTCTGGGATGAATTTGCTGGACCGGCTAGACCTGAACAAATTTGCAGTTGTTTTAAGCCTACGTCAACTGTAGACTATTTTCTTTACAGCTGAATGATTGATTTCAAATTATTGGTGATCTTTCGAAATCCCTTGCCTGTCTAATAGGCATTTACAACATTCTTTCTGAGGGCTTAGAGAGCTTGTTTTGCTATGGCATGATGACATCTCATACATCAATAACAAGGAGAACTCATGACCCTAGGGGGTTTATTTACTAAAGCTGGAGAGTCCAAAATCAGACTCACTTCTGCATAGAAACCAATCAGCTTCGAGGTTTCATTGCCAAAGCTTCATTGAACAAGCTGAGGTTAGAAGCTGATTGGTTTCTATGCAGAAGGGAGTCTGATTTTGGACTCTCCAGCTTTAGTAAATAAACCCCTAGATGTCTGAGGATTAAAAAAGATTCCACCTGCATATTCCCTAGGGAGGTTTTAGTCATTGGCACCTAATCTGGAACACCATATTCTAATTTTATGGATGTGAAGTGGCGGTAAATGTAGGGGGGTAGTAACTTTATACATATAACATATCTCATTTTTAAAAATTTGAAATGAATACACATGTCAATGTTATCTGTCATTTGCTCAAGTAGATCACTTTTATCTGTAGGCATTATTTGAATCAAGAGCTAATAGTTGCCTGTTACAAAGCTGTATGTCTTTTTGTCTGTACCTTGTTTTTCCTTTTCCTTTCCTTTTGAACACACTTCTTAAAAAGTCTGCTATTTAAAACTGTGTCTGATTGTAGAATGTAAAAACAGAGACATGTTTGTTTCATCAAATGCACCACTAGTCATGTTCTTCAAAGATCTTTAGCCTTAGCTTTAGGAGAAGTAAAATGAAACTTTGCCTGTATTCTTCCTTGACAGTGATGTTAAGAAGTCAGAGCTATAGTCTTTGTATCAGAGTGAATTGTCACTTTCCCTGGAAATGTAGATTATCACTGCATGTGACATCATTCAGGGTGATGGGATTAACTAGTAGTTAATAGGTTAAGTAAGTTGAATTAGGTCAGGTTATTTCAGAAAGGATTATTATATGACACAAAATATTCTGCAGAAAAATATTTCAGTCCACTTTCAGAATAGTGTTAGAGTCGCATAAATTCCTTCCACTATGGTGTGCATTGATGCTTTTTATATAATAGTTATTTTTAGGTGATTTAGTGTCTTCTTCCTAATATCTTTTAATCCCTGCCAACCATGAAAACCAATTACCTGCCTTACGTGTTCATTTCACTGATTGTGTGGTAGTTGATTATTATAAAATGTGGGTGAAGCTGAGATACAGAATGTGATTAAAGTTCTAACCTCTAAGGCTTCATGCACACTAGCTTTTTTTTATCAGCTCAAAAAATGCTAGAAAAAAAAAATGCTGGATGAGAAAACATTGATTTTGTGCTGGCTTTTAGTAGCGTTTAGAAGTGTTTAGGAGCATTAGTGTTTTATTAGAATTTTTACAGTACATGTAGGAAAAAAAATGCTTGAAAAAAAGCGTTTAGGAGCATCGTGAAGCCTTTAGGAGTGTTCAGACTCCATGCACACTAGCATTTTTTTAAGCTCCTAGAAGCTAGTATGAGCATTTTTTTCTGTTTTCTGCTCATAGAAGCTAATTATTATTATTAATAATATTTTTATACAGGATTTATATAGCGCCGAAAGTTTGCTCAGCGCTTTACATTATGGTGGGAGACAGTACACGAGACAGTACAGTAACAATACAAATTCAATACAGTGGGGATTCGAGGGCCCTGCTGCTTGGAGCTTACAATCTAGGAGGGAGGGGATAGAGGTACAAGAGGTAGTAACTGTGGGGGATGGAGTGGTTGCAAGAGTAGAAGATTCCAGTATTAGCTGAGGGCGGGGTAGGCTTCCCTGAAGAGATAGGTTTTCAGAGCATGCCTAAAAGTGAGCAGAGTAGGCAATAGTCTGATGGATTGGGGTAGAGAGTTCCAGAGGATGGGGGAAGCCCTGGAGAAGTCCTGGAACGAGCATGGGAGGAGGAGATAAGGGAGCTAGAGAGTAGGAGGTCTTGTGAGGAGTGGAGAGTACGGTTTGGGTGATATTTGGAGACAAGATTGGAGATGTAATTAGGGGCAGTGTTATGAACGGCTTTATACATCAGTGTTAGTGTTATCCGTTGGATAATGGGAAGCCAGTGGAGGGATTGGCAGAGTGGCAGATACAGAGCGGTTGGTAAGGTGGATGAGTCTGGCAGCAGCATTCATGATGGACTGGAGTGGGAATAGCCTGCGATGAGGCAGGCCAGTGAGGAGGGAGTTACAGTAGTCAAGTCGTGATATGATAAGGGAGTGAATGAGTTGCTTAGTGGTTTCTGAGGTTAGGAATGGGCGTATCTTGGAGATGTTGCGGAGGTGAAGTCTACATGAGTTTGTTAGCGATAAGACCTGGGGCTGGAAGGACAGATTGGAGTCAAGGATGACTAATAGCTAATAGTGTTATCCTAGGTGTCCATGCACACTATTGTATGCTAGAAGCGTTTTTCAAGCTTCAGCATTTAGGAGCAGAAAAAAATTGTTTTTGTAGAGTTTTTGGAGCATTTTCCTGGCTGAAAAAAGCTAAATGCCACTAAAACGCTCCTAACAGCTTTTTTTGAGTGTTTTCTTTTTCTTCATGTACTGTAAAAGCACTAATAAAACGCTAACGCTAAAACGCTACTGCAAGCCACCACAAAAAGCTATTATCAGCGTTTTTCTTCCAGAATTTTTTTTTTCTAGTGTTTTTTATGCATATAAAAAAACGTTAGTGTGCATGAAGCCTCAGAGTTTTTCTGTCGGGAAAATGCTCCCAAAAAGTCTACAAAAACATTCTTTTTGTGCTCCAAAACACTGAAGCTTGAAAAATGCTTCTAGCATAAAGTAGGATAACACTAGTAGCTTCTAGGAGTAGAAAAAATGCTCTTAATAGCTTCTAGGTGCTTATAAAAAAACGCTAGTGTGCATGGAGCCTCAGAGTTTTTTTTCTGATGGGAAAAACGCTCCCAAAAACTCCACAAAAACATTTTTTTTTCTGCTCCAAAACACTGAAGCTTGAAAAATGCTTCTGGCATAAAATAGGATAACACTATTAGCGTCAAGGAGCAGAAAACAATGCTCATAATAGCTTCTAGGAGCTTAAAAAAATGCTAGTGTGCATGGAGCCTTAACCTTTGCAGAGCTCTCTAATTTTTGGTGTTTCATATCTATTTTCATATGTGTGTTTAAGAGGGTTTATTATTTTAATCAGCTCTATGTTGGTCACACTGGACTCTAGCATTGCACAGCAGATGTGTGCTAAATTACCTAGACAGGCTTTTCTTAACCAGAGCTCTGTGGAACCCTACATATTTGCCAGAGGTTCTTAGGGGTTCCTTGAGCAGTGAACTGTTGCAGATTGATTTCTTGACTGATGGTGCCTACATAGTTCCTGCACCAACATCACTTAGCACGGGGGGACCAGCTGATCTCCACTCCTCTTTTAGGTAAGTAAGCACTGATATTAACCCCCCTGGCGGTATTCCCGAGTGTAGCTCATGGTAAAGTTCCAGCACCACAAGCGGTAACCCCAAGCTACACTCGGGAATACCATGCGGCGTTGCTCTGGGATCTGTTCTTCACTTACCTTGCCCTGCGCTCCCACGATGTCCCTCCTGCAGTGTCCCCTGTAATGTCCTCCGGCGGATGCCGGCATCTGTCTTCTGGGTTCCGTCCCCTGCAACGTCGAGACGGGACGGAACGGCGGGAAATTTGAAAATGGCAAAAAGTGACATTCACTAAATACACTAAAATAACATAGTAAAACATTACTGTATCAAACCATTTCACATATATTTTGTCCCTAGTTCTTTGTCCTGTGACCTGCCTGCATTTTTGCTGTTCTTTCTGCCTGGAAACTGAGAAACATCCATGGCGTCCAAAAAGCGTCCCTTTAGGTCAAAAGCGATTTTAGACCAGCTAGAGAACAGCAATAGTAAATTAGAACTACTTGCAGAATTGAGTGATAATGATTCGTGGGGAAATTCGGCATCAGACACTTTTCTCAGTGATGTGCGAACTTGGTGCTATATTTCAAATTTCAGTGTTTTTGGTTTGATTGTATTATGAATTAAATGTATTATTATTATATTATTTTTTATGATTATTTATTAAATTATAATTTATGATTTCGTGTTTCAAATTTTATCATACCCGGGATGTTTACTAGACTCTTGTTCGGACAAATTTTAGTGATTTATTCCTAAAAATTACAGGCCTACAATAAAAAAAAATACATATTTCCATGCAAAAAAATGTACCGCTTTGAGCACAGAAATATGGCCATAATCAGACCGCTAGGGAGGTTAATGTTCTTTAAAGAAATCTGTTAGAGAGGCAATCCTTAATTTACCTCCAAAGTAATGGGGAATACTTCCAAGTCACCACCAGGGCATGGAGGTTCTTCTCCCCCTTCTCACCAATGTACAGGGGCACTACAATTTTTATTATCCTTATTTTTTTTCTGGGTGTTTTTTTTTTTCCAAGCCATTATTATTACTGAAACTAATTTTGCCATATAAAATGGCGGGTTGTTAAAAACATACTGACCATGCTTTTGTGTTGTGAGGTATAGATAATATTTTAGAAGGGTTTTCCTGAGAGCTGAAATGTATATAGTTAGGTTGAAAAATAGACATGTCCACTGAGTGAATACATCGGTCACCTCTTTATACATAACCCTATGCCCACCGTTGATTTAGAGGAAGGCAAAACTTCCCTTATAAAGCATAAACCAATTTGCTTCAACAGGAAAAAAAAATCCAGCCTGATCCCCTACAGCAAATGGATGTTCCCTGGACAAAATATTTCTGATGTTATTAATTAAAAATGTTGATATCCAGTTGTATTCCTTCTATTTATGAATGCATGTTTTTTTTTTTAATTAATTGATCTGTGTCTAGTTTTATGTGAATCTATGCTAATTTTCCATACTAAACATATAAAATAAAGTGCAGCGCTAAACATATATAGATAATGACATGTATTCAATCAGTTCGATCAATAAAAAGTCCTCCTCAATTAGGTGACAGAGATTAGGTGCTCAAGTATGCAGGTGACTTAGGTATTCAGGTGACTTGGTTCAGGTATCCGTGCACGAAAGTGATAAAGCAATGCGCACTCACCAGACCCGCATAAAATATGCGCCTTTGTGTATAAATGATCCAGATGTCATCCGATACTGGGTGGTCCTCCCTCAGCTGTGTATGAGGCTGATGATCCTCTCCACTTAGGGGTCCCCCTGGTGTTGGACGTTAAAGGATCTGGTCTGAGTCCCTCCGGTGTATCCAGGAGCAGGTCTGCAAATTAGAGTGCTCCCCCTCCTTGCTGTTCCTTCACATGTGTGTTTCTCTGTGCTCACCTAGGTGAGCACAGAGAAACACACATGTGAAGGAACAGCAAGGAGGGGGAGCACTCTAATTTGCAGACCTGCTCCTGGATACACCGGAGGGACCCAGACCAGATCCTTTAACGTCCAACACCAGGGGGACCCCTAAGTGGAGAGGATCATCAGCCTCATACACAGCTGAGGGAGGACCACCCAGTATCGGATGACATCTGGATCATTTATACACAAAGGCGCATATTTTATGCGGGTCTGTGTGAGTGCGCATTGCTTTATCACTTTCGTGCACGGATACCTGAACCAAGTCACCTGAATACCTAAGTCACCTGCATACTTGAGCACCTAATCTCTGTCACCTAATTGAGGAGGACTTTTTATTGATCGAACTGATTGAATACATGTCATTATCTATATATGTTTAGCGCTGCACTTTATTTTATGTTTAGTAAGGTCTTCTAGGGGTTATTGGTACCTCATTCGTGCATAGCAGCTTTACAATTGTTTAGTACTAAGGCGCTTCTCTCCAGTCACTTTCATATGCTAATTTCCAGCCAGCAGGTGGCACTCATAGATTCACTGCACATGCTTACATGTCTGTCTCTACCTGCTTTGCCGGGAAAAAAAAAAGTTTTTAAAATTCAGTGCATGGAAATTCACAAACATGACTGAACACGTCCCTTCTTCCTTCCACACCTCTGCTTGACAGTTTAGATGAGCCATACAAAGCTTGTTAGAAAGAGAGAGAAAGAGACTGAAAACAAACAGCTTCTGCTATGCTCCTTCTTTACAAAATCAAAATGCTTTGTGAATCTAGTATCGTGGGTGCATACTGTATTAATTATTTATTTGTAATGCATTTGTTAAATAAATCATAAATGAAAATATATTTAAAAAAAAATAAATCTAAACAATATAAAAACGTAATATAAAACGGTTACAAAACATTTATATTTTCTCTTCAAAGTATTAACCTTTATATAAAAGCCATTGTATATAAAATACCTGCTGTGTAGTAGAGAGATTGGTAATAAGTCCATCTGATACCCCTTGACATAAATACATTTATCCATTTGATCATTCTACTGTAATTGTCTATAAATGTTTTTCAAATGTTCATTTTTAAATGATTACTGCTATTCATTTTAGATATGATTTGTTCTTTTTCTTGTTGCTAAATTATTTAGCACCATAATCTTCCCTTGTGCTAAAAAAAAGATACATACAATACATAAACATTCAAAGTTTGCTGCCACGAGCACACAATGTATAGCATTACATAAAATACAATAATGATGTACAGTGGAGAGACCTGCTGGCAGAATCTTACATCTAGAGATGCTTATTATTTGAAAAAACTCCAAATTGTTTTGATGAATTTACTATAGGATACAGAAGTACCTCCTGAATCCAGCAGAAAAAAACCCTGGGGACACTCATCCCACTGGGCAAAAACAAGTGATCTAGATACATTTCAGAGTCTATTTTTATTTACAGGGTAGTACAAGATGCCCAAGGCTACCCGTAAACATTTTCTAAATTTAATTTTTAATGAACAAACAAGTATATATTTACTGCTGTATTTCCAAAGCAAATGCAAAAGACAGATAAAACCAAAGATCAAAGAATTTTAAGCTGCTTAATCTTTTACCTGATCTATCTTTGATTTATTATGAAAAATGTTGGTTTTGTATATATGTTTTATTATTATCAGGCCTATAAAAAGTAATAAAAAGGTTTTTTTTTAATTACCGTAGGTAAATATGAAATATTGTATGTTGATATTTTGTATTCCCCTTTTTTTCCTGCAAATGGAATTTAGGGCTCCTTTTCGCATGTTTTTTCCCCCATATTACCTCCTGTTGAACAAAAAATTAGTTTGCAGAGCTCAGTAGCTAATGCTCAAATTTACACATACATAAGTTATAGCAGTGACTCTTTAACTTTCCTCACCACTTCCTGCATATGACAGAAACCTATGTTTCATTCAGAGACTTTACAAAGTCTCAAAATTTGTTGTGTGTGAAACGTTAAAATGTTTATTTGAATTAGCAATGGAACAGATATAAAGCTTCAGTTTAAAAATATAAACTGTAAAAAGAAAATTATAATAACATTGACCCAAAAAGTGATTTCATGTTAACAGATATTTTTCTATATTAAAATAGGATGTCATTTATGTAAATTTCAAATAAACTCTTGTTTCCAGCCTGTGATTATATATATGTGTTACTCCAGGATTTCACACAGCTAGTCTATTACTATAAATACAGATCTAATAACAGGGATATCAGACTGTCCATCCCAGAGTTATAGGACTCAAAAAAGTGTTATTACCCCCTCCTTCTCTCCAAGTAGCGACAGTGCTATCTCTTCAGTCTAAGGAAGCCATCAGCATATGCAGAGCTAGTGCTGGGCTTTCTCATTAGCCCAGTATGCATTCCACTCTCTAAAGTATTGAATCACCCGAATTACAAGTAATAAAAAATATATAAACTATTAATACAAAACTGAATAAAAACATAGTTTATTTTTAACTTTAAGAATACTCATGTTCAATATTTCAGTGCAAAAAACACTTTTCTTCAGAATTGCTGATTCACTTGGCATGATAAACTTGTATTCAGGCCACAATTCCAGCAATACATATTTCCTGCCAAGAAGCTAATTTAGATGGGATCTGAATAGGGGTGAACAAAGTTTTATTTCTCTGAGCATTTTTTGAAAATTGGCAAAAGTCAATGGGGAAGACAAATTTAGGGTTGCTTTTAAGAGTACCCCCAATGGCTCCTGAGGTTACAGAATATCCTGACAATTATACTGGACCTGCTCTTGTGCCAAAATTTCCATTTTGCAATTTCGATATTTTGGGTATGTACTGTACTGTATGATTTTGTAAACAATCCTGTTTTTTTTAAATGATGCCTAGCAACCAACAAACATTATAGCATGATAACTCCTATCCAGATTTTGCTGGATTCCAGCATGTTTGTTTAAAAATTTAGGTAGTGTGTGGCAGTGTCAGGACGGTAAGGCCCCATGTACACGGGACACTTCTGAACGATGGAAACTGACCGCTGGAAATGTAGGTTAAAAAATGTCCGTTTAGCCACGTTTGCATAACGCGTTTATGCACATTTATGTGCATATTTATGTGCGCTCTTTTTTTAAAGATAAGCACAGGAGAAGCTCCCAAATGCCCAGAATGCACTGAAAAGTGGTAAATTATTAACTATTTCAGACCTTTTCAGAGAAATAGAGAGAGTAGAAGCAGAGACAGCAGTATGTGTTGAGATTAGCTTAGGTGTGAGTTGCTCATTAACATTTCTTTTGTTTCCAAGGGTGGGAAAAATGTCTGGTGGAGTGAGTCATTAAGGCTACCTGGCAAGGGGTCTTCATGAGGAATTGGAGGTGTGAATATTCATTGACATATCTTTTGTTTCCAAGGGTGGGA